TGTTTTTCATATAATCTTAGAATGTCCAATTTATAGTAACATCAGGCACACTATACAAAGCAGCATAAATACACAACTCAGCAAAACAAATCTAGAATTAATAATGGAGAACAGAGATGAAAGAGAAGTATTCATAGAAAATGCATGTAAAATTGTAAAAAAGGTAAACGAGAAAAATAAAGATTAAGAATAAGACATTGTAAACAAACAAGAGATTAACTGTGATATTAGTACATAAGGATAACCTGTCGCTGTATAATAATGTAAATGTAGAAGAAAACACAAAATGTATAATAAAACAGATTATAGAAATATAAGATATTAATGTATAAAAGACGTAGATAAAATATATAGATATAAATAAATATGAAATATTGTAATTGGTATAGAGAACAATTGTAATAGAAATAAGAAACCATTATTGAAAAAAGAGGGTGTAGTAATGTAGGTAATCTGATAATTATTAATATTGTATATAATAAGGTAGGACCTGTGTACCACATTCATTCGCAATATACAAGCCACCGTGAATACTTGTTTTAATTAACTATATCCCAAATAGTTTATTGGCGACGAGGATAAAAGTGAAAAATGTCATTCGGAAAGGTCACTGACTTCAACATCAATTCCGGGAATTGGACGTTATATGTGGAGAGACTGGAAATGTATTTTAAAGTCAATAGGGTAGAAAATAATTTATGGCTGCCAACTTTAATCACAGCGATCGGAGATGAAAGCTACGAACTGTTGAGTAGTTTGGCGAGCCCTAAGAAACCAGCGGAGTTGACATACGAGGCGGCGGTCACCTTAATGCGGCAGCATCTCCAACCTCAACCCTCGATAATGGCGGAACGGTACCGGTTTCGGCAAAGAAGGCAGCGGAGTGATGAAACAGTAGCGTAATACGTCACTGAGCTAAAAAAGTTATCAAGAAATTGTGACTTCGGCAGTGTATTAGAGGACAATCTGCGTGATCAGCTGGTTTGTGGGCTTCGAAGTGACGTCATACGGCAACGGTTATTCGCGGAAGACAGTTTGAAATATAACGGCGCGATAAAGTTGGCGGTTGCACTGGAAGCAGCGGAACGGGATGCGGCAACAGTGGAGGGTTCCACAGCGGCAGCTAACGAGGTATCTTCGGGACTGCACACAGTAGCGGCGAGAAATGACCGGGCGGAACGCCCGCGTTGGCGGACTTCAAACGGGCAAGCGGGGGTCAGGCGTTGCACGGCGTGTGGAGGGAACGGACATAATAACGAGGCGTGTCGTTACCAAAATTTTGTGTGCAGCAAATGCAAAAAGATGGGACATCTGCGTCGGGTCTGTCCACGAGTGGTGAAGAAGGGGGAAAGAGAAAGAAGGCGAGTGAATTTGATGGAAGCCTCTAGAGGGACAGATGAAGATGAAGACTCGAATCCCGAAGAAATTGAGGAACAGTTACACCAACTGAGCTTAAATAGTTATAAGCCGGTAAGCTTAAAAATTCTTATCGATGATAGGTGGGTTAACATGGAGGTAGATACCGGTTCAGCAGTGTCATGTATTAGCAAAAAGACTTATGAGAGATATTTAAAATCTAGATTGTTGGAAAATAACGATATAATTTTTAAATTTTATAATGGTAGCTGTATAAAACCGTTAGGAGTTATCAAACCAACTGTTTGTTATAATGGAAAATGTAAGAATTTGGAATTGTTTATTATTGATGGAGGGACTACTTCGTTGTTAGGTAGACAATGGTTATCTGAGTTAGGTATAGAAATTCCACAGTTTCGTCATTATAGTAAAATAAACAAGTTGAATAAGGGAGGGTATAAAGAAGTTACTCAACCTTATATTAATGATGTAAAAATGTTAATTGACAGGCATAAGGAGTTGTTCAGTGGTGGACTGGGGCGTTTTACCGGAGGCCGGGCGCAGTTGCGATTGAAGGAGGGGGCCATGCCGGTATTTTGTCGTGCGCGGCCCTTGCCCTATGCATTGAAGCCTCAGGTAGATTCGGAGTTGGATTCTATGTTGCGGGATGGTGTGATTGAACCGGTAGATACATCAGAGTGGGCAACCCCGTTGGTACCGGTACGTAAAGCGGACGGAGGGTTGCGCATTTGTGCTGATTATAAAATTACGTTGAATCCTGTCTTACTGGTCGATAGGTATCCGTTACCGAGAATAGACGATTTACTAGTTAATTTGAACGGGGCACAACTATTTTCGAAAATTGATTTATCTCAGGCCTACAACCAGATTGAACTCGATGAGTCCAAGGAAAACAAGGTAATCAACACACATAGAGGTCTATTTAAATATAATAGATTAGTATTTGGTCTCGCTTCAAATCCAGGTATATTCCAACGTATTATGTCGAATCTTTTCAAGGACATTCCGGGGGTAGAAGTATTTCTCGATGACGTTATCGTAGGTACTAAGGGAGGACGGTCAGAGCATTTAATTATTCTCGAAAAAGTACTAAATAGATTGGAAAGTCAGGGCATGAAGTTAAAGAAAAATAAATGTTCATTTTTAGTGGACGAAGTTAAATATTTGGGATACTTAATTTCAAAAGACGGAATTAAAGTGGATAAGAACAAAGTAGCAGCTATTCTGAACATTCCAAGGCCCGTGGAGGTATCACAGTTAAGGTCGTTTCTCGGTTTGGTAAATTTTTATGCAAAGTTTGTTAAAAATATAAGTTTTATACTGTCTCCTTTGTATGAGTTACTTAAAAAGAATAAAGTTTGGAACTGGACCCGGGAATGCGAACAGGCTTTTCGTAGTATTAAAAAGGTTTTAACTAGCGCAGAGGTGTTGTCTCATTATGATGTTAGCAAACCGGTTACGTTGACGTGCGACGCGAGTGCAAAAGGCATAGGCGGCGTGTTGACACAGTGCACGGAAACGGGCGATGAGGAGCGGCCGGTTGTGTATGTATCGCGCGCGCTCACAGATGCGGAAAAACATTATTCTCAAATTGATAGCGAAGCGCTCGCTAGAGTTTTCTACTTGCAAAAGTTACATCAATATTTATATGGTAGACGTTTTACGCTCAGGACGGACCATAAACCGTTAGTGAGCATTTTTGGACCCAAGTATGGCATTCCGGCGATGGCCGCGAGTCGTATGCAGCGTTGGGCAATTATACTATCGGCATATACCTATGATATCGAGTACATAAATACTAAGGAGAATGGCGCGGATGGTTTATCGCGGCTACCGGTGGCGAGTGGAGGGACGGGGTACTCATCGTCACTCGACCTGCCCGAACAGACTTATTTACATTTCGCGCAGAACGCATTATTATTAAATTATAATAAGGTTAAACATCAAACTTCTCGAGACCCATTATTAGAAAGAGTTTTACTATAGATTAGGGATGGATGGCCGGATCATAATGACATTAGGGAATTACAACCTTATTTTAACCGGAAAAAAGAGTTATATGAAGAATTAGGATCCATAATGTGGGGGCATAGGGTTGTTATTCCGGAACAATGTAGAACTCGAGTGCTAGATGATTTACATGAATCTCATATGGGTATTAGTAAAACAAAAGCAATCGCCCGGAGCTATGTGTGGTGGGCCGGCATAGACGAAGATGTGGAAAAATTGTGTCGTAGTTGTGAAGTGTGTGCGGCGGAGGCAGACACTCCGGAGCGCCACGCTGTGGTTCCGTGGCCGTGGCCGAACCGCCCATGGTCCCGAGTTTATTTAGATTTTTTGGGGCCCTTTTATGATACAATTTATCTAGTAATTAGTAATTAGATGACAAATGATCACAGGCGTACTTGGAAGTGCTCTAATTGTCTCATGAAACAGCGGAGGACTGGAGATAACACCAACACGCCTTTGCGTCAACCTTCCACCATACAGAGTGTAGATGAACAGAGTGATGAGACTTGTTTAAATGACAACGCAAATGTCACCCTACGAAATAAATCACAACGTTCACAGCAAGTAAAGTTAGCTGGAGAAGGAACACCTACTGGTGTATCCGAAGAACGTCTACGTGTTATTATTAGACAGGAGCTAACAGAAATATTAAAAACTAATCTCAAGGCATTGGTGAAAGAGGAGTTATCTAGTATTGCTCAGCAACTATCTGGCTTTCATGATTCTCTGACATATTTCAATGGGAGTTTTGAAGATATCAAAAGGGATATTGAGAAGACTACTCTTACTGTAAAATCACTGGAAACAGACAACATTAAACTTTGTGCCACCATAGCTGATCTGTCGGTCAGGCTATCTTCACTGGAACAAGTATCGCGTGAGTCCAATATCGAGATCAACGGAATTCCAGAGAGGAAGTCTGAGAATTCGATCGGTGTGGTTTCTCAATTGACCCAGTCCGTAGGGTGTTCGGTGGCAGTCGACGATATCCTTCATGATACTAGAGTGGCAAAACTAAATCGTGATAATAAACGTCCGCGTTCAATAGTTGCCAAATTTCGTAGTCCGCGTCAACGGGATACACTTTTGGCAGCAGTATCGTCCTATAATAGGAAGAACCCGAAAAATAAACTAAACACTACACACTTTGGCTTGGAAGAACCTGGGCATCCAGTGTTTGTTTCAGAACATTTAACACCAGCTAATAAGTCACTACACGCGGCGGTTCGCATGAAAGCTAAGGAAATGTCTTATAAGTTTGTATGGGTCCGTAATGGACGTATATATGCAAGAAAGGACGAATTTAATCAAGCCATACAAATTAAAACTTCTGACAGTTTTAAATATATAATCTGACCCTAATATATGCCTTCTATTTATATCTGTATAATTGCAAATGTTGTTGTGACTTTTGTGGGATTTATAATAGCAGCGTTTTACCTGAAAATAAAACGCATATTAAATACTTACCATATTTGAAGCTTACTTGTTTGAGATAGGCCCCTCCATTGTTTTCCGTCTCTCTCTACCCTATATGTATGTCTCTTTCGCTCACATCCCCATCTACCGCCAGGCAGGGTTCCGAGGTTTGATATTTGATCGGACACCCGCTCGCGCCATTGTGTCGAAAAACACCAGGCAGGAATTTATGTAAGCTTCAAATATGGTAAGTATTTAATATGCGTTTTATTTTCAGGTAAAACGCTGCTATTAAACACTTGACCGATATTTGAAGCTTACTTGTTTGAGATTTGTTTATTATCGCCTGGTGGTAGGGGGACGCCAATGTGACACAGCGTAAAAGAAGATATGTAATATGCTATTATGGGATGTAATAAATAAAAAATAAAAAAAATAAATAAATGCAATAGACAAACCATAAATATATTTTTCAAATAAATTACAACACTCAAACATCATTGTTGTTATAGAATATTAACAAAAAACTATACAATGGTAATGGTAAATATCTAGCTCAATATTTATTTAGTTGATCGTTAAGTTTTGTTTATTACAAACTTCTTATCATTATACCTACATTTTGATTGGCTAATTAATATTTTATGATTTAATCAATCTATTATTATATAATTGTAAGGTAGTAAAAATAGGTAAATTATGACATAGGTATCAATCTGCTGGTTTAAATAAACTGGTAACATTTATATTCGATGATAGTGGCTTAACCTCTCGTTTATAGAATCTAGTAAAAGTATTGCAGGATTTCCAATTACCTCTAGCTAATATCTCCTCAATAGGAAAGTTATCCGCAAAATTTTTAGATGCTACGGCTGATCTTACACTACCAGCAGACTCAAATATACCAGCCTCTAGGAGTATTGATTTAACCCACCCCGCAATTACAGTACGCGATGCAGGTTTAGGTTTCCCTCTTATATTTATGAACAGGTTTGTAGAATTAGACAGCTTTCGTCTCGGTTCAAGAAGCTTAATTGTTTGTCTAACCCAAAAAACTGGGTCTAAATTTTTATTCTCGCTGTTGGTTATTAGTTTTCACCCTGATTGTCTATAATCAGAACTATCGGTTTTTGAACCAAAGAGAGGCCACAATGTTAAGCTATTATTAGTTTCGACAAAATTATGCGAACCTGTTGATAGTAATGTAAGATCGTGAATACGTCTTCCAGAACAAAGTAATAATAGTATGGCGGTATGTCTAGATGTAGCGAAAACATTGTTTTTGTCTACTGAGTTTTTCTGTATATAATCCACAACTGTATCGATGTTCCATACAGGAGGCTTATGAGAAGCTGGTTTCTTTAAAGCTATGGATTTCAGGATATGTTTAACTAAGGTATGTGAACTTAGTTCTGTACTATTGTTGGCGTTACAAAGGGTCGCTACTACTGACTTATGAAGCAATATTGTATTATAAGACAAATTTTCAATTAAGTACATATCTGCTAGAAATCTTGCGAGCATAGAACCATCAGGATGATATGGGTCTAATTTATGGTTTTGACTCCAGTGTAGCCATCTGTTCCAGGCTACCTTATATGTCTTGCGGGTGGAAGCACGCCAGGAAGACATCAGAAGCTGTACTTGATTATCATCCCAGCCGTTTAAATCCCCTGACCACCCCCACACTTCCAAACCTCCAGTGTTATTTCCTGCACCTTGGGGGGTGGTAGGCCGGTCACCGTGTCTATCACCGTCTGCTCCAGATTGTATATTTTGAACGGTGCTGCCAGTGATCGTGACTTTAGGTTGGCTCGCCAAAAGACTCGCTCCCAGCGTGGTACCACTAAGAGGTATGTTCCTGTCGCTGAGTTGAGGTGAGACAGAGTCTTTGGAATTAAATACGGAGGTGGAAATACCCACGCTAAATGGTAGTTCCATATTTGAGAAAAAGCATCGTGATACAGGGCTGTGGTGTCGTTTATCTCTAACGACACATAGTTGGCTACTACGTGCGCTCGATGAGATGCAAATAGATCCACTTTCGGAATATTTTCTCTGTGCAATGTTTTAGAAGGTGCCATTCTGGGAGTAACCGGTGTCGTGAGAGATGATCGGCATGGCCATTGTAGAGACCGGGTATATGATATATTTTTAATTGAATTGAAGTCCTCTGGAGAAATTTCCTTATCAAAAATAACTATTTGTTTCCTCAACTCGGCCACGGATGTACCGGGAACCAATCCACG